TTGAAAATTGAGACTGGCTTCACTTTAAGGCAGGTTATAGAGAAGTCTATATACAACGAAAAATAGCTCTCTATCTGCTTAGTGCCTTACTCTTTGGATTGTGCTAATATCTAATTGTCTTTCAGAAACGCTCGTTTTTCTTTTAGATTCCTTAAAAAATCTTTTGCAAATGCATTAAACAGAAGGAGAGCTATGAGCTATAACTTTCTCGATATAACTCTCTATATCCTGCTTCAAAGTGAAGATAGTCCCGATGTGCACCTTCAGCAATCGAAAATAAAGTGGTTTTTACCATAATAAACCTACATCGTTCACTTAATATCATACAAACTGCAATTGACCCCCTTTTAGCAGCATCTTGAAATATTCTCTTCATCTGTCTACTATACATTCGTTTAGCCATATAATGGATACTGGTACTTTTTATCTTTTCCGAGGTTTTGGCACTTCCTTTCTCGTTCGCTTAATGTATTTTTCCAGTTTTCGGGTTCAATTTCGCGTTTTTCCTCATTTCAAGACCAAATCCAAACAATCAGTTCTGGTTTATAGAAGAACTTATAGCGTCACCGTTTCTATCTTTCTTTGTGCAGAGAGAATAATTCATTCAATAATAAAATTTCCTATTTATTTATGATATAGTCCAACTTCTGCACAAAATAAAGGAAATAAAAATTAATTTTTTAATTAGTGATATATGAGTTTTACTATACAACCCGGTAGCTATTCATTATATATAGTTCAGATTAGGTATATATTATTTTAGTTTATAAAACAGGTATTAATACGACTCATTTCCTGGGAAGTATATAAAAATTTTAATTACCTTTAATAATCAGTAAATATACAAAACACAGTGTTAAATTGCAAACGTTAAATAAAAAAAAATCAAGATATTTAGCAAAGTTTTTTAATTAAGTTTTATTATTATAATTATACCATTTTTACAATTAAGGTCTTCTTAAACGACCTACGTGTAGAATAAAGAAGGTTAAATTAAAAAAAAAATAATAATAAATTTTTTTTTTTCTACGGAACTGCTTAAAAGTTTTTTAAAAATAATCAGCGTTTTGGAAAGAGAATATATTCTCCAGATGGTTTATTTCAGCACGTTTTGCGTTATTGTAGGCCGTTTAATTACAAATGACACTTGATTTTTAACTTGAAAATATTTTTGTTAAAAAAATTGACTTTAGTGGTGTTTTTCATAGCCTAAGCCAATTATTTTTTAATATTTCTTCATGGTTTATTATTCTATGACTATTCAGCTTTCTATTCAGAATCGTTTCATTGAATTAAGGATTAAGGGTTATTGTCCTCTGTATTAACATTCCTAATTGAAAACAAACAAAAAGATTACCTATTTATTCATTAAAAACAATATACCAATCCAAAGCAGAAATATTTTTAGATGAAAACATGAAAAAATCAAGTGGGTGGAATTTTTTATCTGTCAGTGTATTTTACTAGTTTTTCTTCAATGGTTCAAAAGTTAGATAAATTATAACTTTATATGTCAATTCCCAGAATTTGCAGAAAAAAATCATTTTTATAATATAAGTTATTATATTGCTCTATAGCAGTATAGAGTCCTGTTGTTGTTCCAGCATGTAGAGAGTTAGAGCAATATAATAATGCATATTAATTTACTGGCACCATCCTCTGATTATTCCTACCTAACAAACCTCTTTAATTCTCTCAGCCTTTACATAGTACCTTACAATCCAACCCATCATACTCAGTATTCAGAGTCCTGGCTCGGTCTAATTATCCTGGATTCCTCAGACAAACTCCTTGCCGCATCTCAGCACCCGGTTCCCACGATCTTGTCCAGATCTCTTACAATGTCCCTGTTCCATCCTTTTCTCCCCGAACAATATCCTTCCGAAACCTAGATTATCTCACTCACGAAACATTGTCAGAAGGTCTTGACGATATCCAGTGGGATCCCATCTACTCCTCAAAATCCATAGACACCATGGTAGAAATCCTTACCACTCAACTTCACTCTATCCTCGACCGACATGCTCCTCTTATCACAAAAACCATCCGATATCCTCCAGCTCCTTGGCTTACTCCTGCTTTGAGGGAGTGTATGAGAGAAAGAGATGCTGCAAGGCGACGGTTTAAACGAACTCGACTTCCTGATGATTTTCTCTCCTACAAACAGCTTCGAAATAGCACTCAATCAGCAGTACACCGTGCTAAATCCCGCTACTACCATCATTCCCTATCCAACTCTCCCAATACCAAGGCTACGTGGGCTATTCTTAGAAAACTGACCATTGGTAATGCACCCCAGTCTCAGTCCAATTCCGTTTCTGCTGATAACCTCAACGCTCACTTTGTCTCCTGTCCTCTTGCATCCACATCTCCCACGTCCAGTCTGGCTCCTATGTTCTCTTCCTTTAATCCTGATCACTTCTTTCTTTCCCATATTACACCAGATGAGCTCCTTAAATCCATTCAGAAGTCCCATACCAATGATTACGGTCCCGACAACATCCCAGTCAGACTGATTAAAGCCGCATTGCCATCCATTCTTCCGATCCTTTATCATATATACAATTATTCTCTTCAAAATGCTACCTTCCCTACATCCTGGAAAACCGCCCTAGTACGCCCATTGAAGAAGACTTCAAACCCATCAGTTCCTAATGATTTCCGACCGATTTTCCTCCTTTCAAACCTCTCAAAACCATTAGAGCGGTTAGTCCAATCCCAGCTATCCCATTTTTTAGAGGACAATAATCTCCTAAATCCCTACCAGTCCGGTTTCAGGCCTGGTTATTCTACTCAGTCTGCCCTAATCAAAATTTCCCAAGACCTTCACACAGCCATAGATCAGCAGAAACTAACCAAACTTAAAAACATCTCTTTTTCTTCTAGTTCCCTTAATTGGTTCCAATCCTTCCTTACCGGTCGCTCCCAGTACGTTGTAATTCCTAATAACCCGCCATCAGAATATCTACCTCTGACCAGAGGCGTCCCACAAGGCTCTTCCTTATCCCCCACCCTTTTCTCCATCTATATAAATGACCTCCCATCCTCTATCCTGCACTGTCAATACCACCTGTATGCCGACGACATTCAAATTTACCTCTCCTTTAATCCGACAGATATCTCAGATGCCACTCTAAAACTTCAGGAAGACATTGACAGAATAAGTGCTTGGGCAAACCTCAATAGGCTCACTCTGAACCCCGAGAAGACAAAAGCCATCTTGATCGGATCCCCTTCACTCCTCAAATCCTCCCCGGTATCTCCCAATCTCTTCCTGAACAACTCACCTATCTTATTCTACACCACCGTTAAAAACCTAGGTGTTACTTTCGATCAATCCCTATCCTGGAAACCTCACATCTCCCAAATTTCCCGTCGCACTATCTCCACCCTAAAACAGTTCAATCGTCTACGATATCTCCTTCCATATAAGTCCCGTCAACTCCTAGTTTCCTCCCTTGTTTTCCCCCACTTCGACTATGGCTGTATGGTGTACAGTGGACTCCCGGGAGATTCCGAGGCCAAACTTAAACGCCTAATGAATTGTGCACTATGATTTGTTTTCGGAATCTCAAGGGATACGCATATTACCCAGTATTACACTGAGTTGAGGTGGCTCTACCCATCCTATCGCTGTCAGTACTTCCTAGCCACCTTTCTGTACCAAATTATTAGAACCCATCGACCCTCCTATATTTTTCACAGCTTACAATTCAAATATTCCATCCAATCCCGTCCCACCAGATCTCGTACTTCCGACCTCTATCCTCCTCCTCACAGAACTGCTGTGTTTGACAAATCCTTTGTAATACAAGCCGCCTCCCTCTGGAATTCCATCCCAGCTGATATTCGACACCCTCAATCAGTTTCCTCGTTTAAACCTCTCCTCTTTAAGCACCTACTCCTTTCTCAATCCGAATGATTGTGAAATATATCTAAGAGAAATATCTGAGCACCACCAGAGACTACCTCAATTTATTAAGGTTATTTTAGTTTCTCATACATATGTACAATTTACTTGTTCTTTTTTTTCTCTTTTCTGTATTTTTATCGTAAGTCAACTTTCATTGTAAATATACAATTTAATTGTAGCCACACAGACATATAATCTGTATTCATATTTTGTTCTTAAGGGACAACAGTCCCAGAATAATAAAACATTTTTTTCATTTTTCATTTCATTTTCATATTATCATAATTATTTTTTCTTTAAATTCTCAGAATTGACATATAAAGTTATAATTGATTTAACTTTTGAACCGTTAAAGATAAACTAGTAAAATATTATATATTCTTGAAGAAAATTTAATTATTAAAAACTTTCTTCTGCATAAATAAATTGTATAACAAAACAGTCAAGAGTTAACTAGTCCAATACAGTAAAAATATGAGGTACACTTTTTTTTCTTCAAAATTAGCGATAGTTGAGGACGGAAATCTCGGAAACTAAGCGAGATAGCGAAAAAAAGGTATATGATCAATCATATTGTAAATTTTATCAGCTTTAATCATATATAGAATGTCTTTGTCGAAATGATGGATGGTTTTTCTGATATAAGCGAAAACCCGAAATACAGCAATAAACATGAGACAAATTTTTTTTTTTCAAATTTAGCCATAGTCGAGGACGGATATTTCAGAAACTAAGCTAGGTAGTGAAAAAAGGTTTATAATCATTCACATTGCAAATTTTATCAGCTTTAATTTTGTAAAGAATTAATGTATGTGAGATGGATAGTTTAACTGATTTGAAACAAAACCCCGAAAAAAGTGACCTTCTAGGCACCCCTCCACAACTAGCTCACCACCTACGAGTGGGGCTTATAGTATGTTTACCTCCTTACCCATTCAAACAATATCCCCTAGTCAAAAATTGTGTTCCCACCATTTCCTTCCGTAATCATTCATTGACTGGACTAATAGGGATAGAAATAACAAAATAAATGAAGTCAATAGAATGTAATAAACCCTAACTCTTTTTTTTCTTTGTTTTTTTTCAGAAATATTTTAAATATTAGAGAAGAAAGTGAATTATGGAACCACTTTTTAACTAATTTAAAAACATTCTGTCAGGAGTGGACTAATTTTTCATTCAGTGGACTAGAGACTGGATTAGAAGATGCATTACATATTTTATCCATGATAAAACGTATCAGAACTTTGCAAGATAAATATCATTTGAAATTTAAATTTTTTGATGTGATTACTGATCATGATGCCATTATCAACCACATTTACCAAAATATAAGTGATCGATCAAAAAAAGAATTAGTACTTAGTTTAGTAGAACTAGCTGTTTCTCTCGTTTATATAATGGAAGAAAAAAGATGTTTTAGTTTAAAACTATATAAAATTTTGTTGTGTCCTTTTATCTCCAATATGAGTTCATGTAAGTTTTATTGTGTTTTTATAAGTTAATTTCAATTATTAGTGTTCAATAACCATTTCTCTATAGATAAGTAATAATTATATATTCTTTAGTAAAAATAATTTCTTTAAAACCTACTTTTTACTAAGAATATGAAATTATAATTGCTAAAATTTCCCCATATAGTTCTTCCCATGAGTTATTTGTTAGGTATTTAGTTCCAATTTTACTCTTCTCTGCTATGAGAGCATTTCAATGCATTGCTGTATGTTTCCCTCACTTGCTCTGAAATTCTGGATTCAGTACGTGTATCTTATTATTCGTGTTTTTCTCCTTCTTCTTATCAACTTATCTCACTCTCCTTTTTTCTTGAGTTTCAGTCTTTATTTATTTTTTCCTTTTATATTGTTTATTTCCTGTTTGAAAATAACCCCCTTCAAACTATTTCATCATCATTTTTGATATTTCCTTTTCAAACCTACTTATAGACTCTTAATATTCCCCTCATTTTTCTCCACTTTATGGCCATGTGGTGTACGTTAGCCTCTTGATTGGCCTTGGGGATGGACTGAAGTATAAATGGTTTTTTTATGATTTGTCAATAGGGCTTCCACCTCAGAAAAATTGAAGCTCCCTTCCACTTTAACCGCGTCTATAACCGACCCAACCATCTGCTTGTATTGAATCTTCCCATCTTTACACTCAGTTATGGTGACTCTTCCCCTCTATCCGTTAACAATATTATCATGGCCCATTATTTATTTTTGAAGTCTATTGTGGGTCATCCTATTCTGTATTAAAACAGGCCAGATGCCTTTGTTAACTTGTATGAACTGATGGGATCAATCAATTCACAGACCTTGGAGTCAGTGTTACAGTCACTTGCAAAATTGAAATACTAAAATCTAGCTAAGTCATCACATTTGCATATAATGTGGTAGGCGGTTTCTTCATTTAGGCCACAAAGCCTACAGGTAGGTGCCTTAGGTAAGCCTAGATTAAAGTGGTGCTTATTGAGTCTACAGTGACCTATATACAGTCCCGTCACACTCCTAATGGTGCTCCTGTCCCTCAGAAGGAGTGATACACTTCTGTTTGGACAGGATCCTTCTAAGAACAACTTAGAGTGTGTTTGTTTCTTACTGTGCTCCCAATGAAGCTTGATTTTATTGCCAACAGCTGTCTTAATATTTCTTTTGAGATAGTTTAGGCTTATACAACAGATAGGCTGTGCTAAAGGCACCTGGGCTGAGCTCTTCCTAGGGAGGCTTATCAGCCTAGATTCCTGAGTCTCTAGGAATCCACTCAACCTTCACCTTGTTAGCACTACAGAGAATGTTTAAATTACCTAAATATAAATTATAAATTAAATATAAATTAAAAACAGGTTATAATGAAGGCACCAATAGCTGCTGTTATTAGTGTTCTATTAACATAGAGTCTCTAATACGTCTGTCCATTATCTTTTCTAGAACTTTTAACAAGAATGAGGTCAGACATTTTGGTCTATAGACTTGGGATTATTATAAGACTCTTCCAGGTTTGGGTATGTATCAACGGTACTTTTGGGCCGCTACTGACTGCTATCTGCCAATATTTATAACCTGAACACTGATAACTCCCATAACACAGTGATAAGCCTTCTCCTACTTCACATCTTCGTATTATTGTATTAAATTCGTATTATTGAAAGTGTAAACAGATACAAAAACAAATGTAATAACAACAAAAATACTTTTATTTGACGACAAATATATTAATGAAATAATAAAAAAACACTTTAAGAAGATATGTACATATAAAACATTAAAATGAAATTTAAAAGAACATATTTACATAGAAAAGAAAAAATATCAACACTAAAAACAACGTATATACAAATTATTTTAAGTTAATTATTCACTTCCTTTTGTCTTATTTATTTTGGAAGGCAAAATTGTTTTATGCTACTTAAAATAGCGAGGAACGGGAAACACAAACACAAACATAAACACAAACGGGCCAAAAGTAAACAATTTAATAAGTGAACATAATAAGGGAATAACTGAAAACTAAACAATGCAATAACTCAAAAGTTCGGCGGGATAAGAAGAGGGAGGTTATGTGACATGATGACATGACGTTAGATAAGATAGATAAGAAGTGAGGTTTCAAAACGGCCGCTTAGACAAAAAGTACCGTATCAACCTTGCCACCCTCCAACTATTTGGGATGTAGGCAAGTGCTAGGCATCCCTTAAATAACTTAGGTAGATAGTGTTTAATAACAAATAAACTTTTTTGTAATAAGGCCAGGAAAATTCTGTAAATACCAGCTAGGTGTTTGGGGTGGTGTAAATGTACTTATTGCCCATTCAACTCTTCTAGAATTAACTATTCTAGTAGCTTCTTTCCACTCATCTCTTACCACGAGTGTTACTGTCCATAGCATGATTAGTTATATTCTCATCCAACAGTTGGCAGTCATGAAAGTGTACACATGCCAGAGCCTCCAGAGCTTCCACCTAAGAATAATTGAAGCCCCCTTCCAGTTTAACCATTCCTGTTGGATCTAACGCGACTGACACTATTATTCTCAGTGTAAAACCTCATAATTCCCTCATGTAATGAGGAGTTGAGGCATTCCAAATGCCAGGTATTCCTAATAGTCTTAGGACAGCATTTGACTTCTTCCTCTAGCTGTGTACAGCATCTCTCCCAATTTGTACGTTTTTGGTTTCTGTACACAGACTCATTCACATTATACCCAGACAGGTCAAATTTTATATAACGGTGATCAGACAGAGCATGATTCTTCATTAGAAACATGCCATCCCCTTATCCTAGAACTCAAGCAACGCGTGGCGAATATTGAAATGAACAAATATTTTATTATTCTGGGACTGTTGTCCCTTTAGAACAAATTATAAATACAGATTGTATGTCTGTGTGGTTACAATTAAATTATATATTTACAATAAGAGTTGACTAAAGATAAAAATACTGAAGAGAGAAAGAAAAGAACAAGAAAATTGTACATATATATGAGAAACTAAAATAACCTAAATAAATTGAGGTAGACTCTGGGGGTGCTTAGATATTTCTCTTAAGTATATTTCACAATCAGTCGGATTGAGAAAGGAGTAGGTGTTTAAAGAGGGGAGGTTTGAAAGAGGAAACTTGTCAAACGCAGCAGTTCGGTGAGGAGGATAGAGGTCGGAAGTACGAGATCTAGTGGGATGGGATTGGATGGAGTATTTGAATTTTAAGCTGTGAAAAATATAGGAGGGTCGATGAGTTCTAATGATTTGGTACAGAAAGGTGGCTAGGAAGTACTGACGGCGATAGGATGGGTAGAGCCACCTCAACTCAGTGTAGTACTGGGTAATATGTGTATTAAACAAAATACTGTCAAAACAAACCAATACAGGTATAATGGGAACACTCAAATATGACGATAAGCACACCACGAATGAGATGGAAACATTGAGTGTGGTAGCAAAAGCTCATTTCCCAAATTGTTTTACGACAGTAAATGAATTTCTTGACCCCAATACACAGGATCGTGGTACTGGTGCACGTATGTGGGGTCTGGCAAGAAGAGTGATAACAAACAGTAGACTTGAATGGGCAGTGAATTCATTCTCTCCTTTCAAATCTGCTGGAATGGACGAGATCTTTCCAGCACTGCTGCAGAAGGTTCTCCCAGAGATAAGGCCTGTCTGCCCAATACCAGCTGGTATTTATACACACACTCACATATATATATATATATATATATATATATATATATATATATATATATATATATATACACAACAGACAATATACATATTTACATATAATCAAAATACAAATATTTTTTATAAACTCATTAGCTATCTGTTAGGTTTGAAAGAAAAAACATTTGTCTCTGATTTGAAGCCCATGACATTTGCTAGCTTGCCACCTACTATTTACACTCCTGCCTCCAGTTTTAGTCCTTAATCCACCCATTTCCCTCAAGATCTCAGTCTTCTTGCCATAACCAAGTGCGTTCACATGTGTATGTTCTGTGCATTTTTTACATTTATTTGTTATTTAATGTTAAATTGTTGTTCTACCAATATCAATTTCTTTTACAGGTATCAGAGCTCGATGTTTTCATGGTGTAGTTAATTTAATTTTCATATTCCGAAAAAGTGTTAATTTCCCTATTTCAAAAGTGATCCCTTTTATAAAAGAAGCTGTTAAAAAAACAAAGGATCTTGGAGATAAGATTTCTCTTATTATCTACCATACATTGTTCAAATCTACCTCCAATAGTTTCTTGTTACATACTTTAAATCTCTTATTAAACAAAGAAGTTGATAATGTTCTTAAAAATAGTAATTTAAGGAGTGTTATACCATGTTTTCTTTCTGGCTCCTGTGTTTTAGCAAGGTAAGTAAATATAATTACTATAAATAAATTTATAAGTATAAATTAAAAATAAAAAATAAATGGTTAGTAGAAATAAAATTATAAAAATTTCTTTGTTCGAACATAATTTTTTAAATATACAGTGGTATGAAAAAGTCTTTGAATAAACCAAATTTTTATAAAAATGAAAACTGTTCGAATTTAAAAGTGTTTTTATCTTCTTAATTATAACCTGATTTAACCCTCCAAAGCTAGTAATTATTTTTTTTAATTATTTATTTTTTATTAAGTTTTCCTATTCAAAGGGTGCATTAAAACATGAAAAAATCAATTTTAAAATATTATTGATCTTAGGCTACTTTTTTTTATACATTATAGAATTTGATAGATTTTCTAATTAACACAATAAGTTTTATTAATAATTTTATTGAACTAAAACATATATAATTGTTATTTTTAAAAGATATTTTATTTATTTTTTATAAAGGCTAAAACATTTCACACACAATCCTACCTTATTTTAACCATTTCTTTGTGCTTAGAAATTTGTTCAACAAACCAGCTATATTACCTAAATTTAAACACTTGTCACTTCAGTAAATGTTGAAAGATCATTTTCTATGTATAAATACTTTTTATTTTTAATTTTAAATGTTACTAAAGAAACTGCATCTCAATTAAAGGCAATGATGGGGTGGCTGTGTTGGGGATAACTTATACCCAAAATGCAGGCTCCTTACATTCTATTCCATGTTTGATGGATACACTCGCAGCAAGTTGCTGGTTCTATGTTATAGCCCCTTGTCATGAAAAGGGGAGTCTAAGTGGCACTTTATATCATGGAATAAACAAATTTTTACGATTTTATCAAAAACAGCTTGAACGTTGAACATAAAATTCATTATATCAATGTAAAATCAATCAGTTTTAAATAAAATATAGTTTTTATTTTGATTGATGTTGTCTAACGGGGCTTTAATGGCTAATTTTCAATATTAGCTTTCCCTAAAGTAACTTTAATTTTTTTTATGTGAAAAAATTGACCATTTCACATTAATCTCTAATATAAAATATAGTTAAATATAAGATATGAAAGAATTTGATAATTAACTAAAGGAGAAATAAGAGATTGTTGTAATTGAGGAACCAAAGGAATACGAGCTCGCCCGAAAGATTAGAACATGCTTTCATACGTCAAATGAGCTTAATATAATACGGACTCCGAAAATATTATGTAATTATACATATGCGGTTTTCATAAATGCTATTGTTGGAATTATTTAATATTTAATTGTATAGATTACAGCAATATAAATATTAAAATTTGTATATATATATAAGGGTACTTATACAAATAAAAATGCCCACAATGAAATATAAATAAATATAACGTCTATAATTTTTACTTTCACTTTCCCTTAGTCTGAAAATACTTATTTCTGCTAAGAAGAGGATGATAAGTGAAGTTGTGTGATGCGTGCACCGCACCAAATTATTTAAATTAGATTAAATATGCTACAATTTAAGACCAAAGCAGGTTAGTTAAATTGAATAAGTTTTGAAATACAGGTTTGTAAAGTTTTGGAAATTTGTTGAACTTCAAAATTTTAAGCTATTTTTCATGTTTGATCATATGCTATTGTATTTATATCTTCAATAACCTGTCTTGTATGATTTAGTGAAGTAAATTTTTATTCATTTGAAGGAGGGGGGAAGAGAGGGAGACAACTTTTCCCAACTAGAAAGACTGAAATTGAAATAAAAAATTATTTAACAAATATTTAAATCAAGTACATACAGAAATTGTGAATGAAATTTTTGAAACTTGAAAATGTTAGGCTAATTCTCATCTTTATGTCTTCAATAGCCTGCTTTATAAGAGTTAGTGAAGTAAACATTTATTTAATTTATTATTTTGAAGGAGTAAATAAGGAAGATCCAAAATATTCGAAAATATTACAAGGAACTGATGGAAACTCTATTTGGTGAAAAAATATATAATAGACAGATGAAGAGAGTAGCACTATAACTATGCCATTAATGAGAACCGAATTAGGTGGCAGAGGACTGTAGGAGCCTGCGCTGAGGTCGTGGTGGCCGAGTGTTGGAGCGTAGCCCAGTCTAGCATCCTCGTGCCTAGCGACACCGGTTCGAATCCGGCCTGGGAGTGGTTTGACTTTTATTTCGTGGCGGCCCCACGGAATGAAACTCGACCCTCCCACTCTGGTTAGAATAGGTTTAGTTGTATCTCTAGAACAACCCCCCCCTCCCCACGTATGCCAGAAATGGAGGGTAGGGGGTTATCTAATTAAAAAAATTAAATAAAAGGCGCCTACGCCAGTGCCACTTTTCCTCTGATTGAGTGCATTTTCTATAGAATTCTTGCAAATGTGTTAAAAGTTAATGATTCATTTAGAAAGAGAAATGTATTTTCTAGATGCTTTATCTTAAGACATTTTTCATTATTGTTGGCCGTTTGATTACAAATGACGCTTGATTTTCAGCATTAATTTGAGTGACTTGAAAGAATTGAATTTACTGGTATTTTATATTGCCAATGCCAATTACTTTTTTAAATATTTTATTATTATCTGACTATCCAGCTTTAATAAAAGACCAATGATGACAAAATTAAGCCAGCTGCTGAATCTCAGTGACCGAATAACCATCTCAAATCAATAGAATCGACCTGTCATGTTTGGACGCCATTTTAGGACAGTGCAGCCACATTTTTTTGATAACATTGACTTTTTTTAATAAATAGTTACAAGGAACACAGTGATATGAATTTTATAGGAATTTGAGGGGAAGGTGCGTGGTAGGGAGGTCTGGCCTATGGGCTACCCTCGCTCACCAAACCTTCCATCACCCCTCCTTCAAAATGTGAAAATGAATAAATGTTTACTTCACTGACTCATATCCGACAAGCTATTGAAGGTAAAAGACAATTGCATATGATAAAAAATGATAAATAGTTTAAAATTTTTCAAACTTTGAAAATAAATAAAAAATCTGTATCTCAAAACTATCTGATTTACCAAACCTTTTATGGTCTTAAAATGTAGCATATTTAATCTAGTTTTAAAATGTATAGAATATTTTTTTCAAAAATGTGCTTCTTAATTATAATGGAAAAAACTACAAAACAATTAGCAGTTTTTGAGATTTTCAAAAGTGATCCGGAGAGGAGGGGCGCCGAGGTCGAAAACATGGATTTTGCATCTCAGTCACATCCCATGCAAGAAAGTAAAAAGAAACCGTCTACCTCTATTCGATGCAACTTAAAATGTACAAGGTTACTGGGCTATTATGCCCTTAAGCAGGTTTATGCTATTCCAGTTTTATCTTTTCTGAGTGTTACTTTTACCTTATTCTGTTTCAATGAATCTTATAAATCTTACTTATTATTAATTTATTTTATATTTAAATTTTTAGGGATTTTAATTGGGCTCTGAAATGTACAAATTGTGATATTGTGAGAGAAGATTCTCAAGTAAAATTCCAGGAACTATGTCTTAATAAATATCTGGATTTATATGGTTCCAAATATCTTCAGTTGTTATTATCTGAACATACTCCTGTATTAGAGAAGAAAGAATTGTTGATTAATTTTAATAGATATTTGTTTCACATACCTTATTTGAAATCTAATAAAGTGCTTGGTATACTCGTTGATGCCCTTTGTAAATTAACTTTTAATTTGGAATTTCCTGTTGGGGTATTTAAGTTTTTGCTTTACAATCAAGAAAATAATTTGGATTATCAACATGTCAAGTTTGTAGTTCAAAAAGTGTTAATTTTTTCATTTAAAAATATTAAGCATGAAGGGGATAATTGGAAGAAAACCATATATACTTTTATTTTAGATATTGCTCAGTAAGTATTAAATATTTTTCGTATTTGAAGTATATTTAGTAATGTAAGTAGAACTATACATTTACATATATATATATATATATATATATATATATATATATATATATATATATATATATATATAATATATATATATATATATATAACTATTTTTTTTATCAACCCTTAAATATTATATTGTAAAATAATTATTCTTTTCGAGTATTAGAATTTTTTTTTGTTTGTTATAAATGCCTTTTATTTACAACATATATTAATTTGTTTGGTAAAAATAGATGTACTCAAAACAATTTAGTTTACTTATATTGGGAATTTTTTTTCAGGTTATTCAAGTGTTTTATTCTTTCTGCTGTGAAAATATTTTTTTTATTTTTCACATTTTCTAATATTGAAACAGTATATTTAAAAGAAAAACTTGTTGACATTGCTCAATTTCATGGAATCACAATGAAGCAGTTATTGATCACCTATGAAGTAGAGCTGAGCCAAGTAAGATGTTGCTCAAAACAATCACATCTTGAGCTAAAGCTTAAAAAAAAAAAAAAAAAAACTACCTCCTTACTTATCTTCTTCTTCTTAATCCAGTCCTCTGTTACCGCTGAGCAGTGCGAGGTTCCTTCTTATAGAGCCTGATTCACGAATCTCTATCCTGTGCCAGCTGTCTTCTACTCCAGTCCATTCCTCTCCTGTCAAAGGCTTCTTTAACTCCTTCTTCCCATCTTTTTCTTGGTCTTCCCTGTGGCCTCCTTCCCTCCACTTTGACCTCGTAGGTAGCCCTGGCAATTCTGTTTTCAGCCATTCGCGAGATATGTCCAAACCACCTAAGTTGGTTTTCTTGGATTATCTCCTCTGCAGGCCTCAGGTCCAGATTACCTCGTATGGTCACATTCCTAACGCGATCTCTTCTTGTTTTCCCCTCTATTTTCCTTAGATAGCGCATTTCCATAGCTTGGATTTGGCTTTTGTGCTTGGCAGTGAGGGTCCAAGACTCGCTTGCATACGTCAATATAGGGAGGAAAGTATTCTTAAAGACAATTTTCTTAGTGGTCTTTGAGACTTCCTTTTTGTCCAAGAAGCCTGACTTGAGGGAGTAAAAGCATCTTCCTGCCGTCTTAATTCTCTCTTTAATTTCTCCATCCATCCATCCGAACTCGTTAAGGTGAGCGCCCAGGTATTTAAAATCCTTAACTTCTTCCAGGCGGATTCCACCCAGCCGAACGATCCGGTCTCCTCGGTCCCTTCTTCTCCGATCCTCATGAATTTTGTTTTCGAGATGTTAATTTCCATGTTTATATTTCTCATCTCAGCTTGAAGGATCTTGAGGTTAAACTCCAGATTAAGGCAGTCATTTCCGAACACCACCATATCGTCAGCAAAAGCAAGCACTGTATACTGGACGCTCTGTAGGTTCCTATATCCGAGGTTGTATGGCCTCATTTTCTGTTTTGCTTGTTTTAGGGCAGAGTCCAGCACTAGTATAAACAAGAGGGGGCTAAGGCTGCATCCCTGTTTGATTCCTTGGTCTGTTGTGAATTCTTTTGATGTATGGTTGCACATCCTAACTACATTTCTCTGTGTTTCATATATACTTAGAATGGCTTTACTCAATCCTATATGAACGCCACACTCCTCCAATGCTCTTGATATATCTGCCTTCTGCACCCTGTCAAACTCTTTATTTAGATCTACAAAACAGGCGAACACCTCTCTGCTCTTTTCTATAATCTTCTCGGATATCTGTCTCATCGTGAATATCAGGTTCTGTGTACTTCTGTTAGGCCGGAAGCCATATTGTTCTTCTCCTATTTTTTGTTCTATGAGGCTTCTCAACCGCTTTTCGAGCACCTTACAATAAACTTTGTAGGGGATGCAGAGTAGGGATATGCCTCGATGGTTCCGACATTCACGATTATCTCCTTTCTTGAAAATCGGGATTATGATAGAGATTTCCCAGTCCTTTGGGATAACTTTATTTTTCCAAACTACGTTAAGGAGGTGCTGCAACATTTCAATTCCTTTTAAACCCACGTTTTTCAGCATTTCTGGCGCAATTCCATCTATACCAGCCGCTTTTCCCAGCTTTAATGAGTTGATGGCCTCGGCAACTTCTTCTTCTCCGATGAAGTCGTCTTCTTCCCAGGTGTCTTCTGTACTGCTAGACTGTTGTTTCACTTCCATTTCCTGCTCTTGATATGTGAGTAATTCCTTGAAATATTCCGCCCATCTTTCCATAATGTTTTCTGGCCTACTCATGATGTCTCCATTTTTGTCCTTGATGTGCTTCAACACCGGTTCCTTCTGCTTCCTCATGCTCCTGAGGCTTCGGTAGAAAAGTTTCTGGTTTTCCTTGTAATTAGTTTCCATCTTTTTTCCAAATTCTTCCCAGGACTTTTTCTTTCCTCTCATCATGGCCTCTTTCACTTTCCGTCTTTGCTCCTTGTATACGGAGTATGCCGCATCTGACTTGGTTAGATATATAGTAGCAGTTAGTTAGATATATAGTAGCAGGTATCTCTTCCATAAGGTTTTCTTCTGTTTGATTTCCTCTTTAATTTCCTCATTCCACCAAACAGTTTTCTTTGATTTATGCCCCAGCTTGCTTTTCCCACTTGTCATCTCCGCTGCCTCCAGTATTATTATCTTGATTGCCGATCAAGATTCTTCTACGTTGTCACTGTCCCAATTGTATCTTCCACTATTCACCTTTTCTTCAATCGAGTCCTGATATGCCCGTATCACCTCTGGCTCCCTGAGTTTGAAATATTTTATTTTGAACTTATTTGTCCGGTTTGACGTTCCTGGTGTGGTTGCGCGGTTATTGAGTACTATATCCATTATAAGTAGCCGATGGTCGCTCCCTATTTCGTAGCCTCTTTTGACTCTTATGTCTACTACGTGTTTTCTTTGTTCTCTTTGTATTAGGTAATAGTCGATAATAGACCTTTCGTTTCTACTTGGCTCCTCTCTTGTATATTTGTGGATCTTTTTGTGTGGGAAGAAGCTGTTTCCAACTATCATATCATTTGCAAGACAAAGGTTAAGAATTCTTTTGCCGTTGTCGTTGCAACTTTCCTCACCATCTGGTCCCAATGTGCCACCCTATTTGGTCGAGTCCTTCCCTACTCTTCCATTCAGGTCTCCCATAATTATTGGAATGCCTTGGCATAAATCGATCTCCCGCTGTACAGAGTCGAACAATGCTTCCTTTTCAAGACTAGTGGCATTTTCATTTGGTCTGTATGCTATGAGTAGAGAGTATGAGGCCCCTCCGCTACATACTTCCACTCGCATGAGTCTATCACTAATAGCCTTCCAGTCTTTTACACAGTGAGCCAAGTTTTGGTGAAATAAGCATGCCACACTGCTCTTTCCATGTTCCCCCGGATTGACTCCGGCATATAATAATATGTGGTCTTCTATCCTCTGTTCTCCTTTGCTTTTCTTCTTAGTCTCTGTTATCCCTAGGATGGCTATCCCCGCTCTTTTCTTCTCTTCAACCAATTCCACCTCTTTCTCATTTAAGCCTTTAACGTTCCATGTGCCCAATCGTGTGATCTTTTTTTCACGCCGTGTCTGTTGCCATAAAATCTGATCGGCTCTATTTCTTTCTATACTTATCATTGTTTGTTTTGTCTCAGAAGAGCGAGTTATGAGCCCGTTGCTCCCAAAGCCAAATAGAAGGGCTGCTTCTTCAGAGCTGTCTGGCCAGCTCCCCCACTACTTCACAACGTGGATGTCAAACTGCTGCTACTGACCAGAGATGGTGCTTTTCCAATAGGGTACACCCATTCTGGCTGCAGTGGGAACCCCTCCTCCTTTACCAGGGCTTGGGACCTGCAACTCCCCTCGAGAGGAAAGTTGGCGGAGTTTTACTTATCATAAACTAAGATATTGGTTTTGTGTCTTTTGATTTGTTTTAACATTTTAATAAATTTTACTGATTTTACACCCTTAAATTCATGAATCCACTGGAAAGTACCTTTTTCCTCCTTTCATCCTAGTAATGAGTCTTTCACCCTAGTGATATCTCCATCATAGGGGCATATTGGATTCTTCACTGCACAGTAAAGTCAAAGAATTCTCTCATAACACTTTGTTTGTGGTTGGGGATAACTTCACCAAATTATCCTCGTCATCTCATGCTTTAATTTTTGTTCTTGTCTCTGGTTGTGAACCTTAATAAGTCTTTTGGCCATTCACCTGTGTCTGAATGAAGGGATCCATTTCCTTAATCCACCAACTTTGTTCAAATTACTTAGTCTATTTTTTATTATGATGTTTGCTCTTAATACCATTTTTTGTTAGTTAATGATAAGGGAGTTGTTGATGTACAAGTCTCCTTTTAGCTCAAGAGAAGTTTGATTATCTGTAACATGTGTTATTTCAAGCTTGATATGTTACCTTTTTCTAGAATCCTCTATAAATTATCTTTAGGTTTTCTATTATTTGTTAAACTATTCTTATTAACTGTAAAAGTTAAGGTAAGGATATCATGGGTGAAGATGTTTGGTTGAGGATCCCAGAGTGCCCGGTTCTGAACATTGTGGGTTCGATTCCCTGACCCATATAATATTTATTTCTCAGTGATAAATGAATCTTGACACTCCCTCTCTGGTTAGTACGTAGCAGCAACCTATAGGTGGCAATGAGGAATTGGCAGAAAGGATCACTGACTCACTTGCCGTACTAGTTCCCCCACCTGTAATAATACCTGTACCACTACCATAAAAGTTGTACGGAAGTATTTTTGATTTGACTAAATAGTATTTCTATAATTATATCTAATATTACTGTTTTATTATTCATTATTTATCCTTATAATGTTTACTTCTATTGCAGTTATTGGTTGACCTGATTATTCATAATATCCAAACCAAAGTATGTGATGTTGAGAGTTCAATAACTTATTTTTCTTCCATTTTTGACATGAGGCCTTTGCCGTTTCTTGAATTTCGATGTACTCCTCATGTAGTGAGCTATGTATTGTTGAATTTTGAGAGACCTCAGATTGTATCTTTACTGAATCAATTGAGTGGCATACTGAAGATAACTCTTAGAGATGTGTTTTTAAAACATTTTGCTGTAAGTACCATGGATATTAGTTAGTAAATGGTGATTTTTTAAGTAATATATTTTGATGGTTTGTTTGATTAATGTATACTCAAATATCAGAACTCCAAGTCAGAAGCACGTTTGGGCTTTTTATATTTGCTCTAATCTTCTAGAACTATGAAAGTACAGTTGAACTTCTATATATTAAACTTTCATGTGTTTTTGATAGGTTATTGTTATTTTATTATTGATATTTAATAGTTGATAACGTGTATAATGAGGGAAGAGATGGTCCGATGTGGCAGTCATAAATAACTTCGAATATTTTAAATAGTTTATAACTATTGCAAAGTAGTGTACATTTTTGACTGCTACTCCTGATCGTCTCTTCCCTTATTTTGATTTCACTTCTCTCCATAACTTAAGTTCAATGTGGTTTAATATACATGAGTGTTATGTTCAAGGAAAATCATGAGTATCTTGAATTTACAAATCTTAAACATCTTCCTGGGAAATGGGTAGGATATATACCTGTATCCCAGATTTTTTTAAACATATGTTTTCATAATAACCCAATTATGATGAAGTCTCACGGTTTGGATTGTATGCTAAAATGTATATAATGATTTTTAGAGTGAACGGCTGGATCAATTTTTAAGTTTGATGATTCAAATTATTCAATTATATTATATAAGTCTATAGGTTGAGACCTAGTATTGAGAGAGTGGATAGAGGAGCATAGAGTAAGCAGTTCCAGGATGTAGGGAGGGTTTTTGGTTCTGAAGACTTGGAAAAGGAAAACACCAAGGAGGAATTGTCGTCGGGAAGTAGGATAAAGCCACTTCAGCTCGGTGTACCAGAGTGAAACATGTGAACGCCTGGGGATCCCGAAAATGTATCTTATGAAACAGTTCATGAGTCTCTTTAGTCTCATTTCCAGCCTGGCAGATAGCCCTCCATACACCAAACAGCCGTAGTCGAAGTGGGGGAATACAAGGGAGGTTACAAGGAGCTGTCTTGTTTTTAGAGGAATACAATCACGGAATCTTAGGAGTTGTCTAAGGGCAGTTATGGATTTTCGGGTAATCTGGGAGATATGGTTATTCCAGGAGAGGTTCTGGTCAAAGGTTACTCCTAGGTTTTTGACTATAGGGAAAAAATGGATGGGATGGTTGTTGTTTGGATTGTTGGATTTGTTGGATGTCTTTTGAAAATTGGGATATGAAACTCAGCCAACGGATCCTCATGGGTGTTGCTGAGCTGTTCTTCTGCTGGAGCACATAGGTGAGAGACTTGTGGTCCGTGAAGATGGTGAATTGCCTCCCCTCAACTACTGCCTAAAAATACTTAATAGCCATGAGAATGGCCAGTAGTTCACTGTCGTAAGCGAAGTAGTTGAGCTGTGCAGGTGGGAGCGCATTTGAGAAGAAACCTAGCAGGACCTATTTTTTACTTTCCCACTGCTATAGTACTACTCCAACACACTTACTAAAGGCCTCACAAACTAGGGAGATGGGGGCGTCATTTACAGGATGCCGAAGGTAGGTGGCATTCTGTAGAACCTCTTTGCACTTTTCGAATGCCTGTTCAGCCTTAGGTCCATTCAACCAGCGATCATTCTTCCTAACCTCACGCAGGTAGCCGTTGAGATTTTTCGGTAGATGCGCAGCATTCCGGATGCAAGGGCGATAGAAGTTTAGCATTGCTGCCGAAGGCCCTTGATGGTGGTAGGTTTCGGGTAAGAGATGATGGCTTCGATGCGTTGATCTATTGGCTTGATATCCTCTGCTGACAACCTATACCCCAGGAAATCAATATCGAGGTTGGTCAAGGAGGCATTTGTCAGGGTTGACAGTGAAGCCAAACTCATTCAGGCGAAGCATAGCCTGACGGGAGTGGTCTTCATGTTTTTCTGCTGTTAGAAGAGAACACCAAAATGTCATCCAGGTAGGCAAAACAAAAGTTTAAGTCCCGTAGAGCTTGGTCCATTAGGTGCTGAAAAGCCTGACTTGCGTTCCTCAACCCTCGGCATATGCGGACAAATTCAAATAAACCAAAGGGAGTGGTAATAGCTGTCTTTGGAATATCAGCTTCATTGATTGGGACTTGGTAGTAAGCCATGCACAGGTCGAGATGGAAGAAAATCTTCTTGCCATGAAGCAGAACATTAAAGTCCGATAATATGAGATTACTGTAGCGGTCTGCAATTGTACGCTCATTGAGTCGCTGATAGTCTCCACAAGGCCTGATGGTTCTATCCGTCTAGGGAATAATGTGCAGAGGTGATGCCCATAGATTCTTCGACGGTCTGATAATTCCCCTCTCCATTGGAGTGGTTTTCATTGCACCTGTTATCATTAGACAGGCTACTCTTTGTAGTTTTTCCAATTGTATTCGGTTGTGGCCAACTTTTATCCTATGCCACCATACAACAGTTGAATATAAAAGCAAAGATCTAACTGCTGTAACATAAAGCCAGTAAACCATTCATGGTTAAAGCTCCCATGCCTTTCCTACAGAATTTTTACACCTCCCTGTGGTTTGTTGGAAGGTAACCAAACTCTAAGCTGCACCTTAATAGCTCTGAAAGACAGGGTTTGATTATTGAAAGGATGATTATGATAGGATATCATCCTAACCTGCAAATTTATATGGAGACAATATATTTACTGCCTATTCTAGTCTATTTACTGTAACAATATTTCTAGCTTTATTCGACACTTCTCAATTAGCTGTACATCTAGGGAGTTTAGTATTAATGCAAGCCTCCTCCAGTGTGTTACAACCAGGAAAGTGTGCTATTGCCAGCTCTCTCAGGGTTTCATTCTCGTTGGTGGTGTATTTACCATTGACTCTGAGTGTGCCCAGTATTCCTTGATCTTTCTTTTTAGAAAATACTTTCTTTATCCTGCGTATCATAGGAATATTGTTTATTTCTTGGCAAAAGTTCCTCCATGACACCAAAGACCGTCTTTTAGCTCTCCTCACAGATTTGTGATATTCTGTAAGGGCGGTCTTGTAGACATCCCAATTGCCAGATCTTGGCAGCATTGAACAACCTTCTTATGAGTGTCCTTTGCATGTGTAAATCTTTGTTCAACCAGGATACTTTTCTGTTGGATGCTTTAATTTGAATTTCATTGCTGCTCCAATAAGAGTTCTGTTAAAGATGAATTGAGGCATTCTAGTTGCCAAGTATTGTTTTTAACTTTTGGACTCCCGTGATCTCCTAATGTAGTCATATCATTAGAGTGCTACCATTGGGTAGTTACTCAGCAAGTGTATTCATGTCATTATATCAATTATGTCCAAATTTACTTAATGTATTTATGTAATACAGTTGTAAATTTCATAAAGAAAAAAAAAAAAAAAAAAAAAAAAAAAAAAACTTTTGGACTAGATTTGCATGCCTCTTCTAAATATGAGTGATACGCATCCCAGTCCGTAGACTTTGGATTTCTGTACTCCTCAGAAGTAATTGTGTTATCAGACAAATCAAATCTGATATATTTATGGTCTGAGCATGTTTCTTCATCCGATATATGCCAACGTTATGTCTATGACCTCTGATCTTAATTTATTTCTGAAGGTATGTCTAAATTATTATCAATAATAAAATCTAGTTACATCTCACCTCTGAGTTTGTTATTGCTGCTGCCCTGTAGGATGTTGTGGGCATTGGTGTCAAGTCTCATCAGGGTGCTTTTATTAGTGGATTTTATGATATGGTCCAAATCTTGAGCAGGATCTCTCGACTCATAGGTCAGGTAAGCTGCCACTATCGTTAGTGTCCTTGGTGGATTGTATCTGGCTGCTGCCTATTCTCTAGAACAGTTGCCAAAGAGGCAGTAATTTTAGTGATTTTTTGTAAATTAGACATGCCCCGGGATTGGTTGCGACAGAAATAATTCTCTAGCCTGTGATTCTCAACCCCATGATTCTGTTATTAATTAAGTAAGGTTCTTGGATTAGAATAATATCAATATCCTCACCTTTAATGTATTGTAGAAGCACTTCACTTGCCGCAATGCAGTGGTGTAGATTCACTTGCAGCAGCCTCATCTAGAGAAAGTAATTAGATAGACATGTCAGGCGGACTCCTGGATGCAGACTATGGCAGATTTTCACCCTCAGGCCCAGCTTTCACTGAGTCTTTGGGATCTTCCCCGTCTCCGATTTCCTCCAGTGCCCATTGCTCAATACTATGTACACTATATGGAGTAGGGGGTTGGTCTGCCAGCGGTGCCAGTGGTAGGATTCCACCGAAGGAGACAGTTTTCGTTGTCTTCTCCAGTTTCTTCCCTCCTCCTGGTCCACCTTTGGACTTCGCTCGCTTTGTCATACTTTATCTTCCAGGAGTCAAGTTCACAGTTGGCAAAAGTGGCTGGGATTCACCAGGTGGTAGAACTTCTGCTCTCCTCTCTGGTTTTACCCTGCCTCCCTTCGCCGCACTGTATCTGGTTCCCTTCTGATAAGCGAGGTATCTGATGTGCAGTAGATCCTCAGAGCCACCATTGTTAGGAGCTTTTACTTTGATTCCTTCCAGGACCTCCTCCTCCTGTGACATCAAAGTATCATCTTTACTGAGCTCTTTTAGAACTTCAAACGCGACGGCCGCAGCCAACTTTCATGCTGTGGTTCCTAAGGCTTATTAAGTTGGAGTCCGGGATTCTGAAGATGGCAAAAAATCCCTTGTCCATTTCTTTTAGGTAGTGTAGATTCCTTTCATTGACTCCATCAATTGTGGTATTCTGCATCCTAAGTCTTTTTATTAGTGCTTAGTCAGTAAGTACCCTATCCGTAAAGAAGGCACCACCTATCTTGGAGGTTCTAGTGAGCTCCTGAGTATCTCCTGTTCGAAGGGTAATACCCTCTGCTAGGTTGATGCTCGGAACTATCTTAGCAAGCCAAGCACTTGTCTCATTATTCATGCAGGAGAAAATACCTCCCCCATTATGTAGCTAATGCCATCAAAAAGTGGGTGATACTTGCTGTTTTCATCTAATTCATCAACCTTATTGGTGATGAGTTCTTTTAGTGTCTCAACCAGCTGACCCCTCAAGGCTGAAGCATAACTTTTGCCATCTGCCTCCCTGGGCTTCTTATCACTAGGTTCTGAGGTGCCCAGAGAGGTTCTATATCTTTTTCCTTTCTTTGAAGCTTGCCCTTGGACCCCCACAGCCTTAGATGTCGGGTCTCAAGAGACCCATACGTCTTTAGCTGGTGGCCCAAAGGGCGACTCCATCTGAGAAAGTATCTCGCCGGAACTTTCATAGCGGGCAATTCAGCCTTGGAAGCCGTGTTGGGCCCTTGCACACTTAGCCTTCTGCCCATAGTTAAGTTCTGTAATCTTAACTTGTCTACTCTATTCAAAGGCCAACACTTCGGACTTTTTGACCTTGTTTGCAAAGTCTGGGATAACCATTGCATCCTTAGCCGAGTGCCCTAATGTAGACCCTGATTCAGGATGTGATTTTAGGATGATCTTGGCAGCTACTATATTTCTTCTTTGCCGCCTTCTCATTGTTTTTTATGATTTAGGTGTTGCAGGAACTGCTTCTTTCGGAGCAAATTCTCTGCCTGCCATCTGAACATTTAAATCAGTTGAGCCTACTGATACGCTAGTTTCTTATAAGGTTTGTGGAGGTAGGGCAACAACTCCAGCCTTGGCTGTGGTAGCCATCTTAACCTCCTTACCTTCGTAGCATACTTGCAGCCTCTCAACTTCAGTAGTGAAAGATTTGAAAGTGTCTCTCATTGATGCCTCATCGAGGGTTATGTCTAAGGAAGCCCCTACTGTCACCTCCATTTTGGTGCCCCCCAGGGAATCCGATGGGACTCGCGAACAACAGAGGCAGGGACCATTCGCTTCTATCTTAATGATAGTAGTGATGGTCCTTTTACACACTCAAGCTAGGTGGAGGGAGCTCATACTGTGGCTGAGTGGCAGAGGGTGTATAAAAATATACTGTCTTTCTTTTATCGACCCATTTGGTGCACTAGGTGACACCCCATTTTAAGCAGCCGTCTGTAGAGAGAGGGGACAGTACTTACAGACTACTCTCCACTGTACTCGTGGGAACGAAATGTAGGATCCAAACGAATTCCAAAACGAAACAAACTTACTATACAAACTCTTTCTTCCTCGGAACCTCAATACTAATTGAGGTATTGAGGTTCCGAGGAAGAAAGAGTTTGTATAGTAAGTTTGTTTCGTTTTGGAATTCGTTTGGATCCTACATTTCGTTCCCACGAGTACAGTGGAGAGTAGTCTGTAAGTACTGTCCCCTCTCTCTACAGACGGCTGCTTAAAATGGGGTGTCACCTAGTGCACCAAATGGGTCGATAAAAGAAAGACAGTATATTTTTATACACCCTCTGCCACTCAGCCACAGTATGAGCTCCCTCCACCTAGCTTGAGTGTGTAAAAGGACCATCACTACTATCATTAAGATAGAAGCGAATGGTCCCTGCCTCTGTTGTTCGCGAGTCCCATCGGATTCCCTGGGGGGCACCAAAATGGAGGTGACAGTAGGCGTTGATAGGTGTAAGGAGGTCTGGGAACTCACGGGTAGTGGATAGAGCATTTTAGCATGTTCCTTCCACAAAGAGTGGGGGAGACATCCGCATCCATCTCCCTCTCTAGACCCTACCCATTTTCCCTATTTTTTTTATTTATAATACTTCAATTTTTGTGTAAATTGTTCAATTGTCGTAATTTGATAATTCACTGTTATTTCTTTTTTATGTGTCACCATTATTTACTGTCAAATGTTTTGTTTTTAAAGTTCTTTTAGAAGATCCATGAAATATGTGAGTTTCTTCCTTATGGCATTGTGAAAATTATCAATGTAACTGAAATAATTGGGAAAAAATTTTAATGAATGGAAATTACAAAAAAAAAAGATGATTTAACTGTGACATTTTTACTTAGTGGCTGCTACAGCTCATAAACTGACAATGTTTCTATTTTTATTTTATTATTATTTTTTTTTTAGGTGATTTTTGCCAATATTTACTTCATTGAGGAGGAATCGTTGCTTACACAGGCTATTTTAGTTTTAGAAGAATATTGTGAATGTGATGTTGATACACTGATATGTCTCAACTATAAGGTATATTTGAATTTTCCACTTGTCAAATTGATTAACTCCATAAATATAAAAAAGTGGAGAAAAGTGATATAATAATACATTAATTTTTAAAATCTTTTTGATTCGACAACACTAAAAAATGTATATGATTATCAAGTTCTTTGTTCTATACTTGAAATTTATAATGTTCATTATAATATGTAGTTAAATAGATTATCTTCTAATATAATTTTTTTATTACTGTCAACATTAATTTATTATTTAGTGTTAAGAATGCCTATTGTTAGGAAAATTATGATGGATATTTAAAGTTAATACTCAATCTAATGCTCAAATTAAATAAGTACTTGGCTTGTGAATGGCTCATTTGATTAAAACTAAAGATATATTAAATTAATTAAACATTTTAAATTAACCTGTTAACCGGGCGGGACGTATAAATACGTCAAACGTTAACGATTCTATTTGTTTGTAGTTTTGTATTTACTTTATGCTTTATATATAAATAAACGAAAAAAATATATATTTCATAGTCTTTCCAATATTAGATCTTTTGTCTAAAATAATAATATGAAATTACGTCCTCCGGCTGTTACTTACAGACACGTCATAGTGAAAGAGTTCGCGCCAGTTATATGCTGCGTAATTAAAAAGGGGAATTCCCCCAGTTAACAGGTTAAGAAAAACTTTTAATCTTAATATTAATTATTAACAACATTCCTTTTCTTAAAATGAGAATAGGGGCAATGGACAGTTAATATATTTCCCTTAAATACCTACATCAATAATTTTGCAATGTAACAAATATCTCATAGATGTTCAACTCAATGGGAAATTGCAGCAGTTTGAGGTTGATTCTGGTACCAAATATCCATCCTCTCTTGTCCGAGCCTGATTTCAGACAGTTTGAATTGAATATTCCTCTAGAAACTTTCAACATCGCCTTTTGATCATATTTGGGCAACATAATTCAGCCCAGAGGTAAAATTGTCGTCACTGTGTCTTATGATGGAAAAGAGTTTATAAGGGAATTACACATTGTTCCAGCCGGATATGATACTTTACTAGGACGTTAATGGATTTGGAGCTTAGGCATCAATCTTCTTGAACTTAATTCTCAACTCGTAGAACTGACTCTTCAACTCAGAGAGGGATCTCAGCCATTCTTCACTAAGGAACACAATATTCTTATGCTCTCTGGGACCGGGTTTTGATAAAGAGTTAGATGCTCTCCTAACAGGGTTATTTTACCAATCGCAGGAACAGAGTGGGGTTCTCCATGGGTCATAATCCCCAAAGAGGATGGTGGCATACGTCTTTGTGTGGACTAAAAATGTGGAGTCAATGGGTGTTTAGTTCAGAAAAAAACATTCCATTCGACACATCGATGATGTCCTAAACGGTCTCAGAAATTCTTGATATTTTTGTATACTCAATCTGTACAAAGCCTATTTATCTGAAAATCTCAGACAAAAGCAATACAATACAAACTATTTGCACCCACAGAGGCACTTACCGTATGCTTTGGAATAAAAACAGCACCGTCAGAATTGGACCAATTTCTAAATGGGCTTCCAAATACCGAATCATATTTTGATGACATTACAGTACATGGTCCATAAAAGAATGAATGTATCAGAAATCTACATCTTTGTCTCCAGAGACTGTCGCAATTCGACTTGTACCTCAACAAACACAAATGTTTATGTCTGTTCTTAGAACAGAAAGTGGATTATTTAGGATATATTGTGGAATAGAATAAAATGACCAAATCTCCTAACAAGGTTGCTGCAATTTAAAATATGTCACGACTATCAAACTTTGATGATGTTAGACGTTTCCTGGGTCTGGTGACTTATAATTCAAGATTTGTTCCCGATTTCTTCACCATTACATATCCCCTGTGATTAGGTTAATTATTAAGAAGCTGCATTCTTAAAGCTAAAAGCTGAACTTTGTGGTGAGTGTATCCTTATTCCATTTGATCCAGTATTGCCTTTTATGCCAGACAAAAGATATGCCAGCCCAACAGCAATTGCTGCAGTCTTAAGCCACACAACCGAAGGGTCAGAAAGATTGATAGCCTATGCATTAAGATCTCTAACTGCCTCCGAAACTAACTATAGCTAATTTGGCAGAGAGACTCTTGCTACAATTTTTGGTGTTGTTCATTTTTACAACTACTTATATGAAAAACACTTTACGCTCGTCACTGATAGCAAGCCATTGTTTAGGATTTTTCATCAAAGTAAAGCGCTGCTGCAAATGACATCTTCGCGGTTGCTCTGTTATGCCACATTCCTTTCAGGATTTGACCATGTATCAAGTGCAAAAAGGGAGCAGATAATCAAAACGTTTATTGCCTATCTCGAGCTTCAATTAAACCACATCGAAAATCATCAGACGAACTTTTCGGTGAAGAACTAAATCAAGTGTGCACAGAAACACCGTTTCAGATTTCGAATTTGGTAATAACTTATGACATAAAATCTAAAACTGCATCGAATCGAGAACTTACTAAAATTAATAATGACCTCAAAAGACTCGAAGTATACCTTAGTAAACGACATTATTTTTTGACAAGATAGAGTTTTTATCCTAAGCTGTCTACGTTCCACATTTAAGTGTTTTTGATTTTTCCTTCGAATAAAAAAAAAAATACGAAGGAAGAATTTATTTTTCAACCGAAATAAATAAAATATCTAAGGACTCATTTTTAATTTAATTTTAGTTAACTTTTTTAATGTTGTGGTCTCCTGTAACAAAATTATAAGATTTCGAACAATTAGCTGAAAAATCTGAATATGGTAGGTTAAATTAATTACCAGTTGCTTTTTTGGTTTTTTAGTTTGTGTTTTGTGGTTAATTCAACCTTAGCTTCATAACATTTATTTATATATACTCGAAAAATTCCAAAATAAAGCTTCATTAATCAAGATGCAGTGGCGTAATCATAAACTGGAGATTTAATATTAGATAAACTTAAATATTAGAGATCAGAAAAATTTCAAATACTATATCTCCGATAACATATAAGTAGATCCTTATACCGAAAAACTCAAAAAAACTTTTATAATCCAAAACACAGTGACATAATCTTAAAATGAGATCATTTTAAAAAATATACAGCTCCAGAAACATAAAAGTTGACCTTTAAATTGAATAAATTCGAAAAATTTAAATAAGTCAAAATGCAACGGCATAATTATAAAATGGAGGTCATTTTCAAAATATACGGCTCCGGAAACATAAGAATACACTCTTATATCGAATAAATTAGAAAAACTTAAATAAGTCGAAACGCAGTGGCGTTATCTTAATATGGAGGTCATTTTCAAAATTTACGGCTCGGGAAACATAAGAATGCACCCTTATATTGAATAAATCCGAAAAACATAAATAAGTCGAAACCCAGTGGCGTAATCTTAAAATGGAGGTTATTTTCGAAATTTACAGCCTGTAAACATATGAAGTAGACCCTAATATCGAATAAATTCCAAAAAACTTAAATAAATTGAAAGGGAGTGGTGTAATCTTAAAATGGATGTTATTTTCAAAAACTACTCATACGATAACAGACTCACATATCGAAAAATTAAAAATAATTAAATAAAAAACGGTTGAATTTGAAATGGAAAAAGTTGAATTTGACTTGGAAAAAGTTGAAATTGACTTGGAAATGCTATATATATGTGTTATTATTTTTTTTTTATATATATTTTTTTCCTTTTTTTTTTTTCTTTTTCTTTTACTATTTCTTTCATTCATTTATTATCATTCTATATCCTATCTCTTTCTTCTCTCTCCTTATACATTTTTCCTACTCCTCATATTCTCTCCTCTCTCTTCCTAACCTAATTCATAAAATGCACAAAAATATATAAAGTACAGTGGACGTGTTCAATAAATAATAATATAAAAATGCTTTAACACACGCATGCCTCCCCCCTATCAACAAACTCTCTCCCTATCTGCTCCCATGCATATGGTGGTGGATGATTCCCAGGGAGTCGAGGATTATATTCTCTGCCAACTTTGCTACGTCCTTTATGTCGACACCAAGGCCTTCCATGAAGCTCCTTGTCGAGTTAGGTATCGTTCCGCGAGCTCCGGACCAAAGGCCTCTCACGTGGAACTCTCGGCCCGAAACTCTCGCAAAACTTTTCACTAACGAAAGGGATGCATTTCTCATACTTCTGGTTTTTCTCCCTTTCCACTTTGCCTGCCTGATCGAGGTCATTGGTCTCATATCTCACGGATCCAAAATCATCGCCGAGTTTCCTGTCTTAGGGAATGCTACAATGTTGGTATATGGAGTGAATTCATCTGTATCTATACAATATAATTCCTCGAAACAGACGTAATCTCTCTCTTTAAGGAGCCTCATCAGTTCATGTTTGACTCTGTGGTGACGGGGCGTTATAAGGAGGGAGTTGTTGGGGTCATTTTCCAAGCACATGTGCGGGTGTTTCTGGCCCTCTGTCGCATTGTGCCACAACTTCTCTTACCTGTCCGCTGACACCTGGGACTCCACGCAGGGGTGCATAGTTAATATTTAGTTTCAGGGCATTTGACCATTCAGACCCAGAAAATACTTGCTTATCGTACATATTGTAACGTTCCTCTTTCCCTCCAAAATCAAACAACGAGTTTCCTTTTTCAATATACTATTTATTTTAACACATAACATAAATTCTCAGGTTGGGTTCTGACAACTGAACACTCATTCAACATTAAATAACTATAATCTACACCAATTTACTAATTACTAACTACACTTATATATAATTTAAAATAGTTTTATAAAATAATTTGTCCCGGTCTAAACTTTTGGTTCTATCCCTCTGTCAACATAAATGGCATTGTTTAGCACTCACCCAAATGTTTACGCCTGTCAGCGAAATAATCTCTTCTTACTTACGAATGTCCCGTTTTCTGTACCACTTCTTTTCTGCTATGTTTTTTTCTTCCAACATAAAATAATCTCCACTAGTGGCCTTTATCAACACTCGAACCGGCCA